CCCCACTCGCCTACACAAGGATAAGCTGGAGACTGAGTTTGCCAAGTTCATGGCAATGTTGAAGCAGCTCAACATCAGCATACCGTTCATGGAGGCACTGTCGAAGATGCCCAAGTATGCCAAGTTCATGAAAGATATCTGCACCAACAAGAAGAAACTTGGGGATCTCTCGACAGTGATGCTGAGCGAGGAGTGTTCTGCTATCCTACAGAACAAGCTGCCCGAGAAGCGCAAGGATCCAGGGAGTTTTACTATCCCTCTTACTATTGGCAGCATGCATGTAGGAAAGTCCTTGGCGGACCTAGGCGCTAGCATTAACGTCATGCCATATAAGTTGTATAAAATGCTAGACCTAGGTGAACTTAGCCCTACTAGGATGAGCATTCAATTAGCTGATCGTTCTATTGTGCATCCTAGGGGAATCATAGAGGATCTGCTTGTTGGTGTTGGTGCATTCACATATCCTGTTGATTTTGTTATTCTTGATATACATGAGGATGTGGATGTGCCGTTGATTCTAGGTAGGCCATTTCTTGCCACCGCCAAGGCACTAATTGATGTGCATGATGGTAAGTTGATCTTGCGTGCTGGGAATGAACATACTACTTTTTCTGTGACTGAGTTTGATCACTGTGCTATGATTGATGTCACACCTGTGCATGCTATGTCTGATCAGGTACACGAGTCTGTCGTGTACCCTTCTGCACCTCCTATTTTGCAGGACCCCCCTATCATCCCTTCGCCGCCACTCCAGCAAGCCATGCCTCCGAACAAAAAGCTCAAGGAGGAGTGGCGGCCGAAGCAGCAGGTTGCTAAGCCTGCACGAAAGAAGAGTGGAGACCACTATGAGCTGGTCCCACCTCCTGCACCACGACCACCCTGGCCGTCTGGGTACTCACTTGCCTGCATCCTGCCAGATGGGCAGGTCGAGCTGACTGATGAGGGTGGTCGCATCCGTCAGGTGCATGGCCACAACCTCAAGCTGTACCTCAAGAGCGATGTGGATCCGCTCTTGGAGGCACCTGTTCCTGCACCGCCCTGAGTATCCACCATGGGCGTCCAGCTAATACGACGGTAAAGAAGCACTTGTGGGGAGGCAACCCCACCACGGTTTGATTTTCTTTCTTGTGTTTTGAGTCGGATTGTAACCCGGTTTGGGTTTGGTTTGTTTTCTTTTGGTTTGGATGATATTTTATTGGGCTGACCATTGAACCTAACATATTGTGTTTGAGCTCTTCTGTTCCCCTTTGGCTGTGCTTGCCCCGACTAGCCCGTTTCCAGTCTCCTGCAGTCCGTGCATACCGGTAACATCGTTCCCTTTTCCTTCCCTCTTCTCCATTGAGGGCAATGTGGAGCTTAAGTGTGGGGGGATGTTTATCTTTAACTGCATTAGATCTGTTTGTGTGCTTGGAGCCTAGTCCACTGTCCAAATTTTTTAATTTGAGGGCTCCAAGTACGTGTTTCCATGCAATTGCCTGCTCAGTATGCTTTGAATTGACAGTCTTTATAGTAATATGCAACCTAGGGAGGTAGTGTAGCACTATGGAGGATGTTGATGCATTTAAGAAGTCTCGTTTCTTCTTCATATTGTGTTGGTTGATTGAGTGAATTAGTGATCTTAGGACCCTTGAATTGTGTGGTGTTGTGGATTCTCTGCCTGTCATGGACTCTTGTGTCATGTTTTGAAAATAACAGGTGCTCGAAAATGTGCTTCAAAATAAACGTCTCCCGTGCGAATAGGGCGAAAGTGTGTAAGGGGAGACGGGAATTCGTTCCCAATTTCCACCTACTACCTCCAGCCTCCTTACATGTCTTTCCCCCGCACGAGGCTCGAGACATCCGCCCCTGGCATGGCCGGTAAGAGCAGGTTGGGACCCTTGAAAAAGAAAAAAAAGAAAAGAAAAATATCAGAAAACAAGCAAAACAGAAAGAAAAGGGGTTCCAACCATCCTTAAGCAAAAAATAGAGCACCTTAAAAAATGTGAGTCCATGATCTGTTGTTTTTGAGAATCTCTTCATCCACAATTCATTTGTCCTCTGTTCACTGTTTGCCATGATGCCGACTCGATAAGAAGCTTTGAGATGACTTGTGCGTCGGTTGACCTCGTAAGTTGCTAAATGACCTAGGAAGTCCTCTACCTACGATCTAGGTTGTTTGTTGCTATAGAGGTCTGGAGAGTTGCATTGGTTTGAGTTAGGTTTGCTTGGGGACAAGCAAACGGTTAAGTGTGGGGGAGTTTGATAGACCGTTAGTTACACATGTTTTCACCCCTGTTCTTACACCGTTTGAGAGGTGGTTTCTCGTGTTTTAGACCGATTTCACGCTAGGTTGTGCTTGTTTGTGATATTTCAGGTCCTGGCAAGTGAATGAAGGTTTAGGAGCGAGTTCGGGGTCGATTGGGTGAAGATCGGGCGCGAGACAAGTCACAAGGGAGGTCACACGGGCTGCCCTGATGTTCACACGGCCGTGTGAAGTAATGGCCTGGCCGTGCGTGTTTTGCCGAGAGCACACACGGGCAGAGCAGAGGATCGACACGGCCGTGCAAGTTGCCGGGTTGGCCGTGCCACATTCTGCGAGAGCACACACGGGCAGAGCAGAGGATCGACACGGCCGTGCCACTCTGGCCGTGCAAAGAGCCTGGAATTCGAACTAATTGGAACGCAGCGTTTTGACTCACACGGGCAACTGGGTGAGCTGCACGGCCGTGCCACCCTGGCCGTGTGAGTCGGGATTTTCTCCTTTTAAGCAGATTTTCAGCCACAAGTCCGGGGATTCGAGTTTTTGGAGAGAGAGATCAGTTCCTAGAGAGAGAAAGTGACGAGCAAGAGTCTCCAAGTGCCCTAGATTGATCTTCAACACCATTGGAGGCCAGTTTGAGCTTGGAGAAGTGCCAATCAACGTCCAGAAGCAGGAATCCATCCTTCGCAGTATGAATTCCGTGTCTGAATCTGCTTTTGCTTTCTTCTCTATGGAGTAGTTCTCCCATTCATCTGGGTATGGAGAACCCTAGATTTGTATGTTAGGCTTTGATTGTATGAACCCAAGTACTGATTCTGTGATTGATTATATTCGATTGAGGTTTTGATGATTGAATGACTTGAATCCTGATCAAATTCCTGTTGTTTCTGCTTTAACCTAGAATGAGAATATCTGCCTAGGTTAATAGAGTATCCTTGATTGAAGGTAGGGAGTTGGTGACTTTAGTCGAGGAGCCAACTCACTATTCTGTACCGGATTTACTCCGGTAGTGGAGGTTTTGTTCTTAGGGCCTCAATCTGTCGACTCCGGTGGAGGTTAGTCGCCCGCTAGAGAGTCAGATTGAGAGGGTCTGAAGACCTTTAGTCGAGACTTCAGGCTGTTTAAGAACCTTCCGCAGTATAATCTTCATAGAAACTGAACTTGGTAATTACAATCCGGCTTAACTGCAGTCTAGGGGGAACCATATCCGGGTGACCTCTTTAACCTGAATACAACAGTTTACTTGCTTTGTTTGTTTGGTAGTTTAGACTTGCACTCCAGTTTTATTGCTAGATAACAAGAACTCACTGAGTAGTCATCAGATCTAGGACCCGGGTTGACATATAAACCTAAACCCGCTATACTACGCTTTAGGGAGTGGTTGCACTTGGCCAATTCCTAGGGTGACAGTAGAGTCGAGTCAATCTCCAATTATTTTTCCTGTAAAAAAATCGAATACACTTTTATGTAATACTGACTACACTACACTACGGCACATGTAACCATGGAACTCTTTGGCCAACTGAACGAGCCTGGTGCTAGTTTACTAATAGTGGGTATCAGAATCCACATGATGCAAATTATCGGCTCGTATGGCCGACCGCAGCCGATTGAGCGGCCGCGGCATTCCTTCCAATCAGAAGCTTGCGATTTGGGAACCGGGAAGAAAGAGAATAAAATGACACCACACTGTACGTGGGCACAGGCCGCGCCACCCACGGGCTAGCACGGCACGGTTAGAGCACGGCACGAGCACGAGTATGAAATAAATGGGCCAGCCCGGCACGAGCACGAATAATTTATGGGCCGAGCCGGGCCTAAACTTCATGGGCATAGACACAAGCACGGGCACGACACGGTATATAAGTGGGTCGTGTCGGGCCTAATATTTTCGAGACTTTATTGAGTATAAGAACGGACATGGCACGAATGTAATATTTATTTGTTAGAAAATAAATTTTAAAAGAATTATAGGTTCAAATATTACAAAACACAAGTAGAAAAATAATTATTTGTTGTTGTTAGAAGTGTCATAAAGATCTATACGTAATTACTAACATAAGTAAAAATGGACAAAGAATTAAACAAAGCCAAATTACACTCGCTATACTTCCAATTTTCTTTTCCCCCTTATTTGTTACTTTTCTCAAACATTATCGGTTAATACTATCTTCCCTGTCCAATTTTCACCTTCTTTTTCATTCTCTCTTTTGTTTTCGTCCTTTTCATTAAACACGAATACGAGCATGACATGAGCACGAATAGGCACGACACAATTCGAACCGTGTCCGGACCTGGGCCGTGTCTAGCAAAATTAACAAATGAACTTACATTACACGACACGAAAACTGACGGGCCGTGCTAAGCACGGCACGAAATAAATGAGCCCAAAGGGTACCCGTGCCGTGAACGAACCAGCAGTCATGTACAAACCACACGCAGAAAGAAAGAAAGAAAGAAATGGAGCGGCAGCCTAAAATCCTTTCCTCTTGCGTTCGTTCCTTCTCCACGTCTTCGGATAAATCATAAAAGTCACCCCTTCCCGCCACATCATCATTTTCTTTTCCCCTTTTTTCAATTTTTCCTTTTTTCTTACATCCAAACAAATCCGAAGGAAAAATAGTAGCACGCCCACACACAACACTGTCATCTTTCTATCTGCACATTTTTTCTTTCCTCCGCCTTCCGAAGCTCTCACCTCAATTTCCTGTTCCCCTCCGCAGCCCAATCGCTGAATTTTCCCGCTGATTCTCTCGCTTCCATGTACATGGAAGTGCGTTTTCATCGCCATGCCTTCGTATCTTCAAGGTGTTTTTTCATCATCCCGTAGCGCGCTCGTATAGTTTTTTCTTCAGTGTCTGAATTTCTCCTGTTCTCGGTTGGATTAGCCAAGTCTTTATGGAGTCGCTAGGGTTTTTAGAATTTATGTGGAGGTTCTTGCTCTATCTTACATTTTGTTTTCGTTTAACTGTTTATCGGAAGCTGCTGCGTTAGTGGATGAGAGGATGAAAGCATACACATGCTGCTTTTGAATTGCCCGAACAACAGGAAAGGCAGTTTAGAAATAAGAACAAATTCGGTTGTGAAATTGTTCATAATGGTGTGAAAATGTGCATTGGAGTGTTTCTTTCCGCTGTGATTCAGTTCAATGAATTCCTCTATTTCAATCTAATTGTGAGGTTATGGTGGTGGCAGTGCAGTTTATCTTCTGACAGCTGTTTGTGAGGTTTTAATTATGGGTTGTTGGCGGGAAAGCATATTGGAGTTGCTTGTGCCTTGTTTTTTGGTTTTTTTTTTTTTTTTTTGCTTACGGTGGTTGTAAATATTTATATTTACTGTGGTATGTTGAGGCTAAGTTCTTCTTTTATTCTGATATTTCTGTGTGCAGATCTTCAAGTCCTTGCTTTTCTCAAAACTCAATTCAAGCAGAAGCTTTTGTCAAAGGAGTGGTTCAGTTTGGTTACCTAATGCATTGCAGTAGAGCAAGGAGAAGGAGCCTGAAGCAACTTGCTTTTCTGGGAAATGGTAGTTGTAGTTCTAATTACCAATTGGCAGGGTCTAGAAAACAGAATTTGGACTTCCATCGAAAGAGAAGGTTGGGCCGGTTATTGTCATGTGGATCTGCTGACGACACTGTAACTGTTAATGGGAGCCCCACACCAAGCACCAGTGGTGATGTGAAGGAAATGACAATGAAACTCAATCAGTCACTACAAGGGGAAGATCAAGGTGATAGACTGGTTCAGTCTTTGCATGATGCAGCCAGGGTTTTTGAGTTGGCCATTAAAGAGCGAGGCATCGTGTCAAATTCCTGGTTCTCAACAGCCTGGCTTGGTGGAGATGGTAATGCGTGGCTGAAAACGTTGACTTATCAGGTTTGTGATCTTTCGTAGTAAAGTTAGCTTATAAAATGCAGAAATCTGATGGTAATGCTTTACAACTTACGCGCCTCCATATTCTTAACTATTTCAGACTGAAGTCAGTTAGACCATCTAATTAGAAATGAATTTCTCAGGCTTCTGTATATTCCTTATTGCAAGCAGCTTGTGAGATATCATCTCGATGCAGTGGTGGAGACAAGGATGTAAACATGTTTGTTCAGAGAAGGTATGAGGTAGCATTTATCGTATATAACTTATCCTTCTTCACCCCCTTTCCACATTGATTTTGATGGGGATGTAGCAAGCTAAGACTAACCTTGTGCTATTTCTATCTGCAAAGCACATATGTCCTATAATGACCTCCAAATTGGGCATCACCTATGAAATTACTCCAGTAGTTTAACAGTGGATAATAATAATAATTGGCAGTTTCCTGAAGCTTATGGTGATTAGTTGAGCTTTAAGTCCAGTGATGTGTTGTTGGTGTTTTTATTGATTTGATTATGCTCTTTGCTGCTAACATTATATCTGAACCATTTTTTAGTACTTTAAGTGTTTGGTTGTTTCCTCTTTTTTTTTTTTCTTCAAAATTTCCTCCCTTTACCTGCCATTTCATGGTCTCCTGGACTTTGTTTCTTCTTCCTTTTAGTGCATCTAATACTTATTGTCATCGTTGATGCAGCTTATTAAGGGTATCTGCTTCCTTGGAGAGCCTAATCAGGGAAAAACTATCTGCAAAGCAACTTAAAGCTAGCGAATGGTTTTGGGCTGAACAAATTCCATTGGCTGTGACATCCTTTGTTAATTACTTTGATGGAGCCCCACGTCTTACAGTTGCCACTGCTGTGTAGGCAGCTACCTCTATCCAAATTTAGCTGTTATCTGAGTAAATTTGTGTTGGTTGTTTTAATTATTTTGCAATTAAAACTACTTCAACTTTATTTTCAGGTCTGGGAAAGGCATGTACTTGGGCTCGGACAATGGAACTGATACTTCACTCCTTTTACTTGCATTGACTTGTATTGCTGCAATCACAAAACTTGGCCCCACTAAAGTTGCTTGCCCCGAATTATTTCCAGTAGACATTACTGGCAAATTGATGGACATGCTGGTTGATTTGATTCCTATACATCAGGCTTATCGGTCAATCAAGGATATAGGTTTACGCAGAGAGTTTCTTGTCCATTTTGGACCTCGGGCAGCAGCATGCAGAGTGCAGGATGATCTTGGTTCTGAAGAAGTTGCTTTCTGGGTTAATCTTGTGCAGAAGCAGCTCCAACGAGCTATAGATAGAGAGAAAATATGGTCAAGACTGACAACATCTGAAAGTATTGAGGTTAGTACCTGCATTTTCTGAATGTGGGAGATTGGTAATAGGAATTACATGCTTGCGATAAGCTTATTTTAACTCTGGTCTGTAAGAATAAAATTGATGAATGGAAAAAAACCTCTCTTATTTAGTTGAGAGATCCATCCATAAGGCTGAATGGGTTTCTGATAGATTTTGATGGAAGATTCTTCGGTCAGGGGGACACTTTTGGTACTAATTATGAATGTATTATCAATTGTATTACACGTGAAATCTGTTAGTTATTCATCCTGTTAGGCATAAGTTAATTAGACCTCCATTCAAAAACTAGAAGAATGCTCTCTGGAATTAAGAACAGAAAATAAATTAAAACTTCTGGATGTTGTTGGAAAGCAAGGAGCTTGGTAATACCATTCTCCTGGTCGGAGCCCTGTCTATTTCATACCTATTGTGGTTCCCCGGATTTGTAACTAAAACTTTAACTGCACTTTTCAATATTGATTGGCTTGCGCTCCCAAGGGATATGATTGCATGTAAAAGCTTTGGAAATTTGTTGATACTACTTACACGGTGGGAAAGAGTAGAGACAGAGTTGTTGTTGCATGGAAATTGTTATCAATGGTTATTGCCAATTTGCTTCAGGTGCTGGACAAGGATTTGGCTATATTTGGATTTTTTGTTGCCTTGGGAAGAAGCACACAGTCCTTCTTATCTACAAATGGATTTGACGTAGTTAATGAGCCTATTGATGGTTTCATGAGGTAGCGTTTTATGTGTCTTGTGGTGCTACCTGCTCGGAATGATTATGTATTCATTCAGTTCCTTAAATATTTAAGTTACTGTGATGCATTGCAGGTTTCTAATCAGTGGCAGCGTATTATATTATCCTCAACTTTCATCAATAAGCTCTTATCAGTTATATGTAGAGGTGAGCAACCTTTGTGATGACTGTTTAGCATGATAACTGGTGGTACAGATGTCCTGCTTTGAGTTTTACGTTGAAATTTGTTCTCTCTGTGCACTTTCATTTGATAGGTTGTTTGTGAGGAGTTGGACTGGCTTCAATTTTATCCAGGGCACAACACCACCTTAAAACAGTCACATGGTCACGAAAATAAAGATAATCCTCCAAATGCTGAAGCCATTCCTCAAGTACTTGATGTCTGCTCTCATTGGATGCAAAGCTTTATTAAATATAGTAAATGGCTGAAGAACCCTTCTAATGTTAAGGCGGCGAGGTTCCTGTCTAAGGGGTAATTCACTTACAGATGTATTGGATGTTTGGCAGTGAGGTCATCTAACTTCATTTTTAACGACTACCTTAATTCTTGTTTTCTCAGACACAAGAAACTAATGGAATGTGTGGATGAACTGGGTATATCAAGGTAAGCTAATGGAGTCTCCGACCTCACTTAGTTGCACACCCATAATTAAGCTGATAAAGCCATGTTCTGAAGTGGTCATTGTTCATCAGTAAATTTTTACTTATGGCAATGCAGGAATGTTGCAGAGAACGCTAGCAACCTTTCTATTGAGAGAGTTGGGTCTAGTATATATTTACCAACTAAGCAGGATACAGATTCTTTTGAAAAGGTTTGTCCTCTGTGCTACCTACCCATTCCATGAAACTGTCTCTCACTTTGTTCTCATGTTCTGGGAATCTCATTATTATTATTATTATTATTATTATTATTATTATTATTATTATTATTATTATTATTATTATTATTATTATTATTATTATTGTTGGTATCGTTATTATTATTATCATCATCTCTCCCCTCCCTTATTTCTTTTGCGTCACTTTTAGCTGTATTTCCATCAGCGATGTATAATCCCATTCTAAAGTGAAAGACTATTGGTTATAGTGGATTCAGTGAATTCATGGGCTTAAATCCATGCAGGTGCTATATTAAGTTGAGTGACATCACAGTGTAGATTTAAACTCAAGATGTTATTTTGGGATATGCCCTGCAGGCACTAACCTTGACAAAGCATCCTGGTTAAACTATAAAAGACTAACTTAGGTCCTAGTTGGGAAAGAGATGGTTATGTACCGACTTCAATAAAGATTTATTTTATGCATTCCAAAGTAAATTTGGCGATTAATGCATGAAATTACATGTGAAAAATTATCCAAATTGATTTTATGGCCGGAATCTGTGTTGTGCATGTCATTATGCTTCTGCAATTTATGTTAGGCATTGGAAGGAGTCGAAGAAGCTCTCATAAAATTGGAAAATCTGCTTCAAGAGTTCCATGTTTCAAGTTCTAGTCGTGGAAAAGAGCAGTTAAAAGCTGCTTGTTCTGATCTTGAAAAGATAAGGAAACTCAAGAAAGAGGCTGAATTTCTGGAGGTATCATTCAGAGCAAAAGCAGAATCCTTAGATCAGGTAATGTCATATCCATCTTTTCCTTCTCAGCCTTCATATTTTTGTCTCCCTCAGAGAGGGAAAGGTGGCACTTAGGTATCTACATATATATTTTCATTCATTCAGATTTGGGAGTTATTTTACCGATACTAATTTATGTGAAGGGAGATGAGGATAACGATCTCCAGTCTTCTGGTCGTGAGCAGCAACAGTACTTGGAAGGGAGCCTAGAGCCCAGTGACAGGTAGCATCATTTTTGGTCATTTCAATCGAGTTTCATATGCTTCTCTTCCTGTTCAATATATTTCTACTGGTAGACTCTGGTATATCTATCCTTATTTCCCAGTTCTTGGAGTTGCAGTGAACTTCGTGGACTGCAAAGCTTCATAGGTTTTCCGACCAAGAAGCCTGACTCTGATTTATCAAGCCTGGGGGTTGCAAAGTCAGAGTCAATCAAAATTCAACGTTTTGAACTGATAAGGAATGAGCTGGTGGAATTAGAAAAGCGGGTGAAAGGAAGTACAGATCAGTATGAAAATGAAGAGGTATTTACAATCCTTTCCAACTCTTGCATTTCAACACTTGCAATGTCCATTTCGCAAGTAGGATTCAGGTTTTTTGCATGAGAGTGGTTGTCTATGCCTTACCTGATTATTTTCTTTCGCCATTATGGTCGCATCATCTAAGTAAGTGAAAATGTCTCCTTTCAGGAAGTTAAAAGCACAGGTGATGGTACTCCAGATTCTGTGTTCTTCCCAGCCAAGAAGAAGGGCGATATTATTGCAAGCTCGGTCGAAAAACTGAAAGAAACTAGCATGGTATCTGTCACTGAACTTTATTTGATCAAAAGCATAAGCATTATTTCTGAAGATAAAATAAGAATAGTATATTTCAAGTAAAATCAGGCATGTGACACTTCCAATTTTAGTGGATGGACAAGTACTACTCCTGTTATTAAATCAAATGGAATTGTTTCTTTTACGAATCTCTTTGGTCATTTTGGTTTTCCCTTAGTCTTCTTGCTTCTCTTAGTCAACTAAAAATCGTCAAACTTTCATGGGAAGCATTAGTCTTCTTGCTCCTCTTAGTGGATTGGATAGTTACTTACTATACAACATCTCAGTACTCTTGATGCAGTCTCTCTAATCGGTTATAATATGTGGCTGAAAAACTTGTGAACAGGATGTCTTGCAAGGAACACAGCTCCTAGCTATTGATGTTGGCGCGGCAATGGGACTGCTTAGAAGGTCCTTGATTGGAGATGAGCTGACAGAGAAAGAGAAACGTGCTCTTCAAAGAACTGTCACAGACTTGGCATCCGTTGTCCCCATTGGTGTTCTCATGCTTCTTCCTGTGAGTCTTCACATTTAATTATGTCAATACGCAATTACTTGTGGTGATGCATCGTTCATTTCCTTGACTCTCATCGTCCATTAACTAGTTTTTATTGCTAGAATCTAGTAGTGCATTAATACCCCATCAGAGAGAACCGAACATCCTTTTTTCGAACCGTAGAAGCTGTATTTTGAATTGTTTAGAATTCCATTTGCCATATTACCTGCTGTTATTCTCATCTGGCAATTCCCGACACAACAGGTTACTGCAGTTGGCCACGCAGCAATTCTAGCTGCTATTCAGCGATATGCACCCGGATTGGTAAGTGATTCTCAACACTGTACTCTCTCCTATTCCAGTCCCTAACATGAACTAATCTCCAATAATTTTGGTTCTCTGGCAGATACCTTCTACATATGGACCAGAAAGGCTCTACCTCTTGAGGCAGCTCGAGAAAGTGAAGCAAACAGAAGCCATTGAAGTCGACCCTCTAGAAAGCGACGAGTCCTCATCCTGATCCTTACAACCACACAGGCCCCTCGTCTTATGTACATCCATTCTGGGGGCAAAAAAGAAGTTTGGCTTCGTCGTCATCTGTTGGTTCTGAATCCCATCGACAGCAAATGAGCATACATAATTTCATTCCACACATCTGGTATTCCTGGTAGGCACCAATGACTGCAATCCTGTGGAGCGTCCGGTGGGGTCCCCGGCTCACGGTAGCGCGATGGGTGGCCGTCGCTCCTGTACTCTGTCAGATGTGTAATGTTCAAGTACTCAACTCTCTTGTAGTTTCCCCATCTCATCTCTGTAATCACTTGAGAAATCGGTCGGTTATTCGTTGGCTCAGGGGCAAGAAGCTGCGGGTTCGTCTCTGGTTGCAGGTCCAGATCACAGTGCCCTCCATCGGCCCACGTCCCATTCCTACAACACCGCCTGCGTTTTGTCATCCATAGTATAGCAATGAAAGAAAAAAGGTTGTTAGGTATACTCTGTACGGAGAGAAGGAACATGCCTGTAATGAGCAGGGGAATAGCTGCGAAAGAAGACATGACTGTTCTGAGGATACAGATTCTCAGTCACCCAATTCCTCCATGTCTGTAGCGATTTTTCAAACGCTTCCATAACCCCCATAGACCTGTTTATTACTCCATTTTCTTCGAAATAGTGACCCCTGGAGTTGGAGAGAAAAACAGAGCAAACAGTGATGTCATTTCCATGGAGTGCTGGGTGGTATGGTATGTAAAGGATGGCACTGCGTACGTACATGTAGATGGTTTTGTACTGGTTCCACCAGTGTCCAGCATTGAACACCAGAACGTCTGCACCGACCCATCTGTTGGAGAACCAGTGGAGCTGGTCGACCTTGATCGCCGCCTTGACCTCTGGCGGGGAACCGCGAGGCGGGCGGCCGATGATCACCAGAAAGGGCAGTCTGTAGTACTCCACGGTGAGGTTGTAGTCGCTGAATCGCATGACGAGGAAGCCTCTGTGCTTGGAGATGGGCTTCCGGTTGACTTCGTAGATCGTGGAGACATTGGAGACTCCCTGCGCCAGCATGCAGAGGAACGACTCCCACTGGTTCCTGCCGATGGAGTCCCCGGCGAACACTATCCTCCCGTTCCTCGCCCTTTCCAGAAAGTCCGTCGCGTTGAATCTGGGCTTCCGAAACACTACTTTATTACATATTCTGACGCAGGTGATAGTGTGGATTGCGGAATACGGTTGCGCGTTGGTAATAAAAGAGAAAAGGCGGGAAAGTGACACGTCAACTACTGAACTGGGAAAGGAAAGCCCGTGGTTGTAGCAGCAAAGCAAGCAGATAGGTCATATAGGGATGGCAATGGGTCGGGTTGGGGCCGGTTTTATCAAACCCAAGCCCAAATCCATGGGCTTATCCGCCAAAAATATCCCGGGTAAAACCCGTTGAGTTTGAAAAACTCAAATCCAACCCAACTCGCTGGGTATCCGCGGGTTCATGGGTACCCGTGGGTTTTTGTGGTAAAAATTTACAATAACAAGTTTCTTTCAAAATAAAAGTTTAACATCAATTTTCTCATACAAATTAATCATACAAAAAATACCATCTAGATCATACAAGCAAACCGCAAATGATCAATACCAAATTGTTCAAAATTAAAGATAAACATCCATAAACAATAAAATTAATTGAAAGCTTCTTCCTCGTCAACTAAGTTTCTTCACTCTCCACTTCATAATATCAACATCATTCTAAACAATTAGAAAAAACAAATTATACATGTCTCCACAAACATAAAGAATATTAGTTATTTAAGAAAAATATATTATTTAGAATATTAAATATATCGAGAAAGTAATTATATGTGTGTGGGCGGGTACCCATGGGGCGGGTTTACCTAAACCCAAACCCAACCCGACCCGGTGAATAGTATAGCGGGTTTAAACCCGAATCCGGCCCAAAACCCGTCAACACGTGGGTACCCATGAGGCGGGTTTAACAAAACCGCGTTGACCGGGTTAGGTCGGGTGGGTACCCGTGGGTTTGGGTTTTGTTGCCATCCATGCAAGCACAGGGCTAAAATCTGCTTTTACTTTCAATTCCCTATTATTATTTTTTTTATCTTTCAACTTAATTACCAAACAATTTGTGAAGCTATCCAGGCGGAAGAAAAAAAAAAGGAAATTACAGAGCGTTTTCTTTTCTCCTAATTTCGATGAAGGAAAGTTTTATCTGTACACGTAGGTAACTAAACTAGGTAAGCATGAAAAGTACCTGGGGAGGTTACAGCGGCGTGGCTGCCAGCGCCAGTTGAGATAATCCACGTCATCCCTGCCGTTCCAGCGACAGCGGAAGCCAGGATCAAGAAACGGGCAGTTCTCCCCGTACGATCCGACGTCGTCCTGGTTCTTCCTCACATCCCGGACCCACTCCCCGTCGCCGTAGTCACCGCAGACTGTCAAGGTTCGGGCCAAGAAGCCGACCCGAAAGTAGGAGACCGGATCGAGCGGAGCGAGGAGATCGAAGGCGCAGAGAGAAGATCCGATTAAGAGAAACAAGGAAAGAAAAGCGTAGACGAGCTCTCTCCGAGTTACAACCGGCGGTAAAAGAGAGGGGAAAAGCTGCTGCTTTAGCTATTGGGGATCGGCGGCAGGGTGAATGCTGTGGTGGTTATGACGACGATGGTTATTATCGTCGTCCATTAGAATTGACGAAGACTATGGCTGATCTGATAGCGAGAGAATACGTCTAAGAAAGGGGGGATTTTGGGAGAGAGGACGACGAGATATATCATATGATAAGGTTCAGCTTGCATGGAAGGAATTAGAGAGAGCCGGAATTTCCTTCCTTCTTTCTATTTGTTTATTTATTTTACTTAGACGTATTCTGTACTTGTTTACAAGTTCTGAACCTAAGCTAATTAGGTTCTGGCTTTTTTCACAAATTGCAGGGTTTTTGGGTCGGGATGGAGGAGAGAACAAAGATTTCGGGTCGGAGGGATCAATGAAATTAGGACACCGAAGAAAGCCAAGGCAAACTGCCATATTTATCTCTATCCTGTTTATTAGCCTGGTTACTCGCAGAGTCGCAGTTACTCTTTTCATTTCTTTTTCCTTTTTTCTTTTATGAGCAAAAACTAAAGCTACTCCTGTGCCCTACAGTTACGATAAATTAAAGCATCCTAGCTAACTTAAAAATTTGTTAGTATATACTAACTAATATTCAAAATGTATGAATTAATATCAAAGTCTGCTGAGTATCTAGATAACACAGATTAATATTCAAAATATCACAAACTAGTATCCAGATAGCATATACCAACTAATATCCACAATCAACCAACTAAGTATTCAATATGATTACTCTTATGTGTTATCTGGATACTAATTATATGTTGTTTGGATACTATTCTGTGTTGTCTAGATATTAGTTTGTGAATTTGGGATAATAGTAGATTCATGGTGGATATCAGTTAGCAAACTTTGAATACTAATTTGTGCTCTCTAGATACTTTAGTACTTGGATATTAGTTCATGTATTTTGGATATCAGTTAGTATCTGCTAACGAATATTCAATTAACAGATTTACTTTTCCCAATTAAAGACTTACCAAGTTTATTCATTCACATACTAATATACCCTTCAGATGTCTTGAAATCTACATTATCCTTAGATAAAAAAAATATTATTTAGACGTCTAATTAATGGATTTTGAGGCATATATACTATAATCTTTCATAAGTGAATTATAGTTTTTAATTATCTAAATCATAGGATCCAAATTCTAAGATTGCGGATATAAGTTGTTGCATATATTTCGACGAATCATTATCATCAATTTTTATTTCTAATTAAATTGATTTTAGTGTAAGAATTTTATTGAATTTAGATCTAAATTGTAATAGCTAAAAGTTAGGGTATAATTAGGGATGACTATTTGATCCGGACTGTTTGGTTTTATCCGAAAACGGATCGTATAACCCTGATCGGGACCGGACTGGGACCGGATAGCAAACAATTCAATCTCATATTCGGGCTTAAATTTCAGGTAAAAAAACCGAATAAAGACCGGATAAGAGATCTCAACACTCAAATCCCCATAAGCTCAATCTAAAATCATGATCAAATTGGGACCGGAACAGGTCAAGACCGGACCGGATCAAGACCAGACTGTATCCAATCCAATCTTTGGTCCTTATATTCCCAAAAAGACCGGACTGGGACCGAATCAATTTGGTCCAACTTAACTGGACCGGACCGTATAGTCACCCTAGGATATAATACCATGTTCCAATCTCCACTCAATTCAAGATCCTGCAGGTATCATATTTCTACTAAGTGTATAATATACTTTTAATTTTGCCCAATCTACACAACAACCTCAACGATAACATAAATATAAATAGGGAAAATCCTAATCTAAGTAGCACAACAACAATAAGAGTAATTAAGATGAAAGACTCCCCGACAACAATGAGCAAAATAGGAACTAAACAGGAAGAGCAGACAATCTATGAATGGATTACCCTTGTATTACAGACACAGTGGTACTCCTACAGAATACAAAGTCTATCGACGACGTTTAGTTTTAATACTGATCCAGCTGTTCTTTATAATTGTATATGCTTGATCTAACTGTTCTTTTCTTCATACTTGGTTAGTGGAATGTGGTGCTTTGATATAATGTAGCGAGTATATTATGAAGTTGTCCATAAATAAATAAGACAAACACCCGTTCATTCTGTTGATCAAGTAGTGTTCTCATCGTGCTTAATTATGAAAGTGACAGAATTTAGTTAGCACGCAGTGGCGGACCCAGAAATTTTTTATAGGGGTGTCCTCTTTTAAAAAATAAATTAAATAAAAATAAATAATTAATAAAAATAAAATTATAAATATGAAAATACCTTTACAGGTTAAAAAAGTTCATGATGTGTTTTCATATTCGGAAATAATTGTAGAATACACTTGGTGTCTATAGTGTTTAAAAAAATTGTCTCTATATACACTACTAGACAATCATTCACGAACTTATCGCATATTCGATTTGTAAACTTGTTCTTGATGTAACCCAAAGCTGAAATACTCTTTCAACACTTGTCGTACAATCATAAAATCAATACAAATTAATGGTAGTTTGAAATTCGTTTAATTGTTAGGTTTTTAAAATAATTAGAGATAGGGAATGCCATTTTACTATTACACATTGTTCAAAATCGAACAACAAATGAGTTTAGCTCAACGGAAATTAAGTTTATTAATAATAATAGTGTTCAAGATTTAAATTATCCAACCTACCACTTATATTCCTATACACAAATGACAGTAAGATAATAATTTTTTCAAATTTAGGGGTATCCCTCACTATCAATTATATTTTTTTTGTCCATACGTAAATTACCACTGGGGGTTGGATAATCGTTTTCCCAAAATTTAGGGGTGTCCTCTTCCATACGTAAATTACCACTGGGGGTTGGATAATCGTTTTCCCAAAATTTAGGGGTGTCCGAGGACACCCCTAAACCCCCTGGATCCGCCCCTGTTAGCACGTCTTTGATTATTTAATATTTATCGAAAGAAACAAGCTAAGGGAGGAAGGAAGGAAGGAAGATAGAATTTTGGCAAACTCTTTCTTTGATTACAACGGCGTGCCATCAACATACTAAATGTGCAGACGAATTTCATTTTAATCTATTGCAAGACAGCGACCAAAACGAATACATCTGCACTTGCTGTCTGTTTTTTTTTTTTCCATAGGTATCCCACCCGGTGGGAGAAAGATACGAAATATAAATACAAAACCTTTGCAGGTCAAATCACAAAAGATAAATAATGAAGAAACGTCGGTGATCCCACGATAAGAGGGTTTTTTTTTTGCCATGATATGTGCAGCCCTAATATACCTACGCATTAACCGGAGTCCATGTATTTGTTCAACCCTTTTTGGGGCGGAAGTGATGGACCAAACTCTTGTGGTTGTCAAGTGACCAGAAAGCAGCAATTACCTGCAATTGCAAGATAACAACAAAATATCCGCGGTGAAACACCCTAACCCGGCCGGGTATTACTTTTACTAAAATGCACTTGACAAATAAAATACTCAAATCTTAAATTGCAGCGGGAAAATTTTTCATAAATAAAATACTGAAAACACACTTGTAGTTCCGAGCAAAGCCCTAACACGTGGGCAAATTAAACTCAAACTTTAAATCTCAATCTAATCTCCAGTCTATACTCATAATCATAAATGTAAATAACTGATAATCTCTAATGTTGTTGCTACTGAAACCTTGGCTATGCATTCTCTGTGACGATTATACATCCCTGCTCTAGCTGGCTATCCTTGAACTTTTCCTCTCGAACTCGCTGCTCTCTAACTGCTCCTCTAGCTAGCTGCTACTGAACTGGTTCTCGCTCATTCCCTTACTAAGGCCTGGTGAGTGAGTTGGGGTCAGTCTACGCCCTTACGTTTTAAACTTTCTAATAATTTTGCACTTCTTCTCAAACACTTAAACTCAAACTGAGGGAAGTTATTTGTACTTCCAATCTTAAAATATTCACTCTTAAACTTTGAGGGAGTTGTGTTACTCTCCTCTCTTAAAGCTCAATTCTTGACTTAAAAACTTGACTGACACGGGGATCCCTCACTAGCTAGTCCGGTTGCCAACTCATACGTATGAGAAGCCATCCAGGCTTTCCTTAAACTTAAACTTAGTTAGGGAAGTCGTAACGATTCATCCCCCTAACATCTTAACTTATCGTGGTGGCTCTTCACCACGATTTTCAAGGCATAACTGCTGCCCAACTTAAATATCTCAAGAGCATAACTGCTGTCCCCAAAATTTGCTTGAATCCCATCCCTCTTTCAACACCATTCTTGTACTTCATGCCTCAAAAATTTACTCTCTCTATATGAACCTTGATGATGTCCGTTGCTTGTCACGTATAGTTTACCTCACCTCAAGTTATTTCCTCTTGACCATAAAAGGTATTCTCAACAAGCTCATTAGCATCGAGTAACTTTGGGTGGCTACTTGTCCCTTTTTAAATTCCCCCATCTGGTGATGGAACAAAATTATCGATTCACTTTGTTGGTCCTGCTCCTTCAGCGCTCGTTGTTGTCCCTTAAATCAGAGTCAAAGTATCACATTTCCTCCCCACTTATAGAAATTTCTCCCTCGAAATTTGTCCACTGTGATTACCCTAAGCATCGCTTGTTGTAATCTTTTTCACTTCGTGGATTTTTATTTCCTTTAACTTATACGACATGACCTAAAATCCTTCTCTCCATTCCCTGCAACTTCAATGTTGTTGTGGCTTCTTAACCCCTCACATTACAGAAATTTACACCCGAGAGATTGACACCTTTCACCAACATAGGCAACCTTGGTTTCACTTTGGGGTATTCTAGCAGGTTCCCTAAACTTATATCCCTCTTATTTCGTTACTCGTGACTCTTCTTCTTGATATTACTCGCTAGTTCTAGACGATGTCCCTTATTCTCAATGTAGTCATCTAAGTTCTCATATTCTCTTCTCACTTATGTACCTTGACCGATAAGGTTTTCCCTTCTACCGTTATGGACCACCACACTTCTACTTTAAAGTTGACCATTCAGTTTCTCAGTCCTTGATGGGCTTCCTATGGTCCAACTTATTCTCCACTGGCTATCACCTTAACGCCTCCTTGTTGACCTTCGCATTCTTTCGCCGACTCTTCCTAACTATCTTTCTCCCTGAATTTGACGTTTTATCAACTACCACCCTTTTCACCATAACTTTCATTATGGCTTGTGGCTTCCTCCTTACTTTCACGACTCTTCATTGATGCTTGGTACTAGCTTTGATCTACTCAGTTTAGTAGCTCCTCGCCATACCTCAGAGCCAACATTTCCACTAGAAACTTTCTCTAGGTAGACTTGATAGATGACACCCACGACTTCTACTCACGATGGTGCTTGACCACGTCCCAACTATCTTCTTTCACGCATTAATTGTCCGGTCGACAACCACCTTTTTTTCCCTATAGCGTCGTCCTATGGTGTTCTCCCAGCTTCTTTACTTTTACTACTCTTCCGTCGTGGCTTTGTACTATATTTGGTCACCAAACTCCGTTGAGTATCTTCTCGTTATTGTTAGGGTTAAAGCTTCCAATAGAGGATTTCCTTGGGTAGGTTTTAAGTTTTAACATCCCTCATTCACGTCATTTGTCTCAACCGATGCTTGTACATCGCCTTAATATCTTAGTCATGGCGCTTAGTGGCTTAACTAAATATCACTAATTTATCCTTAACTGGCCTTCTTTTATGGATGACATCCTACTATGTCGTACTTGCTCAGAGTGGGGCACCTTGGGTAAGGTAACTTAATGATTTCCTCCTTCTTGGTAATGCTTTTCCTCGTCGTACTCCATTATGCATTTTCTTGAACACGAGTCACCTACACATATTCTCAATCCTTCATCGGAACTTCCATGTGTTTCCTCGAATTCTCTGCCATTCACTAGAACAGTTATTGAACATTCCACTTACTTGTCTATACTCGGTTGGCTTAATGACTTACTCTATAGCTAGTTCCGAGACCTCAGCTCTTGGCCCTCTAGTTCCAACTTAGTGGAGAGGTTCCTCCTTCTGTCACCCCTCATGTACCCTAGGAGGCTAGGTGTTCCCTCTACTTAAGAGAGGACAATCCCATAAAAGATCATCGTGAACTCTTGCATACCCCTTCCAACGGCCCCAACATCCTCCTGACCTTTTGTGATCTGGGTAGTTTGTAGGGTCTCTACTATCCTCCTTCTAACTCGGTGTTATCTTGGTATCCAACTCAAGCACTTCTGAGAAGTGGTTCTCTATTCGTACTGCCATCTACTAGCTAACTGTTATTCTCTCTCACAATCCATGTCTTTTCTCATGTATCGACTCCCCACTGTCTTCTACACGACATGCTTTAGACTTTGGTGGCACTTTCCTCCACATCTCGTCCAATGGTGGTCGTACTGAGACCATAACTTTCCCTCTACATCATTTATCTCGTTGCTTGTCTTGTTCCTTCTAAAGGCTTGTCATCGGCCTAACTCCCCAGGGTTAAGTACCCTCTTCTCCAGTTACGTGGTTTATCTATAAGGGTTCCTTCATCGTCATATGTACACGACCATGCCTCCTTTCCTTCTTAAACTTTTGACTTCTTGACGTCCCTTCAGACCCCCTCTAACCTGCTTACTTCCTTCTTAATCTCATTTATACTGCCCTAGCTTCTCTTGAAGTCTAAGCTTTCCACTGCTCCTTGTTACTGTGTTGTAATAGCGTTGACCACTAAACTAGTTGAGGGACTTCTCTTGGTACCTCTTCGTTTCTTGACTCTTTGCTTCCTCGCCACTGTTTAGGGTCAAGGACCTTGAAATCCTCAAGTCCTTATAGCCACTGACATCTAGTGGCTAAAGCTCTTTCTTTGGAGATTCATATTTCTCCCCTTTGTTTGTCCCATCTTATTAGATCATCCACTTGTTTCCTAGTAGTAAAATCCTCGTACTACTCTCTCAACTCCTCCAAAATCCTTGAGGTATTCCCTTTCAATTGGCACCTCTTTGCTGGTGTTTGGAGTTGAAGTCCTCACACATTTGCTTCTACCTCCACAGACCTTTACAGCGTTCCACCTTCCTTCTATAGGTTGATGATGATGATCTGTTAGCTAACGTCCGAGTAGTTGGTTAACTAATCGAAAAAAACTACTATCCATCATGTCGATGAGATACTTGGTCTTGAGAGCCTTTGAGAACCTACCTAGGTTGGTCACATTTCTTTCATCCTTTCTTTCTTACTGGCGATCACCAAATGCCTAAATCTCTCATTGGACAAACCACGACATGTTAACTAAATCGCGTCCTAGCCGCTTCTTAAACAAGCGCACCCAGGGCTACCGCCCCTTCGTGCCGCGCTGTCATAGTTATTCACCTTAATATGATTAGAGTAGACTGGAGATTCTATAAACTCTTAAAAGAAGATCCTTGACTCGTTTTCCATTCCTTTAAAACAAGACCTTTAAAAACTGAGACCGACATCCCAGTATTCCTTGGAAACCAAGAAACAGAGGAAGACCGGCTCTGATACCAAAATGAAACACCCTAACCCGGCTGGGTACTACTTTTACTAAAATGCCCTTGACAAATAAAATACTCAAATCTTAAATTGCAGCGGGAAAAATTTTCATAAATAAAATACTGAAAACACACTTGTAGTTTCGAGCAAAGCCCAAACACGTGGGCAAATTAAACTCAAACTTTAAATCTCAATCTGATCTCCAGTCTATACTCATAATCATAAATGTAAATAACTGATAATCTCTAATTTTGTTGCTACTGAAACCTTGGCTAAGCATTCTCTGTGACGATTATACTGCCCTCCTCTGGCTGGGTGTCCTTGAACTTTTCCTCTCGAACTCGCTGCTCTCTAACTGCTCCTCTAGCTAGCTGCTACTGAACTGGTTCTCGCTCATTCCCTTACTAAGGCCTGGTGAGTGAGTTGGGGTCAGTCTACGCCCTTACGTTTTAAACTTTCTAATAATTTTGCACTTCTTCTCGAACACTTAAACTCAAACTGAGGGAAGTTGTTTGTACTTCCAATCTTAAAATCTTAACTCTTAAACTTTGAGGGAGTTGCAGTTACTCTCCTCTCTTAAAGCTCAAATTTTGACTTAAAAACTTGACTGACACGGGGATCCTCACTAGCTAGTCCGGTTGCCAACTCATACGTATGAGAAGCCATCCAGGCTTTTCTTAAACTTAGTTAGGGAAGTCGTAACGATTCATCCCCCTAACATCTTAACTTATCGTGGTGGCTCTTCACCACGATTGTCAAGGCATAACTGTTGTCCAACTTAAATATCTCAAGAGCATAACTGCTGCTCTGTCTCAAAGATCTCCAGAGCATAACTGCTGCTCTATCTGAAAATCTCAAATGGCAACGGACTGACGCTAGCGACTAAAAACACTTAAAACGACCTCACCTTCTTGAAGGTGAATTACTTCTTAAAAGAACTTGTTTCTTAAACTTTAACAATAAATCATAACATAACGCTTTAAGGTAAATAGCACAAAATCACCCCAAATCACCTCAACTAGCATAGAATAACCTCAAATCATAGCTCAAGGAAAACACAAATAATCAATAAAAAACATAATCAAGCAATGGTAACCAATTCACTAAAATACTTAAAATCACAATACTTAAAAGGATACGTAAGGCGTAGAATTTACCCCTTTTACACTCACCTTGAAAATAAGAATTTGCTTAGACTCTGAAAATTCCAAAACTCCCTCCTGTAACAATCCCCTCGCTTCTACGATTCCGTAGGCGCTGACGGTTCCTCATTTGGACGTCAATTGATCGAGTAATGACCAAAATAAACATTCTGTCAGTTTAAAAGTACCAGGTACCGAATTAGCAATTTTCCCCAGTCAACATATTTGTCCACGACCCCTCTTTAAAATTTCCAAAATAATCCACCAACTTTTCGAATTGTCCATAATGGTACCTGAACTTGACAATTTTTCATCCAAACTTTCGATGCTCATTTCTCCCTCGTCCGACGTCAGAATCCAATTTCGTCGACACGGTGATGCTCCTGGGGTTGCCCTCTATGAGATGATGGCAAGGTTTCAGAGTTTGGTTGAGGTCGACTACGCCGGTACCACCGACGTGCTTCCCGGCGAGCCTCTGATCCCTTCCCGGCGAGACTATGGTACGCGGGAGTCGCTGGCCTATTTCCGATACTAGAGATTGTAGAAGGGAGGACGACGCGGCGTTGGCTCTGCTGATTACGAGGGAGGAGCGGTTTCTTTCATTCTTTCTTTCCTCTTTCCTTTGTTTTACCGTAGCAGGGTGACGGTTTTGAGGAGGCGAAGTTAATGGGGGAAACTGATGGGGTTAGTGCCATAGCGGATTTTTGGGGTTTCTTAATATTTAATTGTTTTTTTTCCTTCTACGGAGAATCCATGGGCGTAGCGATGTGCCTCCTCATCCACTTCCAAAGTCCTACCGCCTTCGACGGCGCGATCGTCGTCGCCCCGATGTGCCGAATCGCTGACGAGATCAAACCTTGCTGGCCGATCCCCGAGGTCCTCACCATCATCGCCAAATTCCTCCCGACGCTGGCCATCGTCCCCACGGGAGACCTACTCCGTGAATCCGTCAAAGTGAAAGAGAAGCTGAAGGTCGCGGAGATGAATCCGATGAGGTATAGAGGCAAGCCGCGGCTCGGGACAGTGGTGGAGCTGATTAGGACTACGGACTGTCTGGGGAACAGATTGCGAGACGTTAGGGTTCCGTGCCTCATCCTCCACGGGAGCGCGGATGTGGTCACGGATCCCAATGTTAGCAGTGCGCTGTACGAAGAGTCGTTCGAGCGAGGATAAGACAATCAAGATCTACGACGGGATGCTGCATTCGCTGTTGTTCGGAGAGACAGATGAGAACATTGCCATTATCCGGCGAGACATTGTGGTTTGGCTCAGCGATAGGTGCAGTAGAAAATGAAGAGTGAAGACAAACGATCGAGGCTGGAAATTGCTCTATTTCGCGGTTCAATTGTGCTTTGATTTAGTGCTTTTGAATCACATTTTTGGATAAGTGGATGCAGATTGTCGAATGGTCTTGGCCAACCAAAGGATTGAGATTTTTTTTTGATCCTTGGATTTGTTCCCTCTTCGTTGTTTTCGAGTTCGTTCTTCTCCCCACTTCTTTCCCGGTGTAACGGGATGGGGATGAAGATGATTATAATAATAATAATAATATTATTATTATATTATTATTATTATTTTCACTCTACGGTTGCAACCCTTAGCACTTAACCGTTAAACCAACCGTTCCCGTATTTTGGTTGAACCTGAACCCAAAGTCGGGGTGTTACATTTCCTCCACCCTTATAAAAATTTCGTCCCCGAAATTTGCTTGAATCCCATCCCTCTGTCAACACCATTCTTGTACTTCCTTGCCTCAAAAATTTACTCTCTCTATATGAACCTTGATGATGTCCGTTGCTTGTCCCGTATAGTTTACCTCACCTCAAGTTATTTCCTCTTGACCATAAAAGGTATTCTCAACAAGCTCATTAGCATCGAGTAGCTTTGGGTGGCTACTTGTCCCTTTTTTAATTCCCCCATCTGGTGATGGAACAAAATTATCGATTCACGTTGTTGGTCCTGCTCCTTCAGCGCTCGTTGTTGGCCCTTAAATCGGAGTCGAAGTATCACACGCGGAGCAAAAACATGAATGAAATTAAATAACTAAGGATACAAATTCAAGATAGCCCACACGTTGACTCCCCATCGAAACCATAAAGCCCATATGTCTTATCATGATGCTTACATCCAACCTTTACAAGTTGAAGTTGTGCGACATGAATTCGATAAGCAGCTTCACCTGCAAAACAAACAAATGCAAAAGGCAGACCAAGCCAGCAAACAAATACAACGTGCCACAAGCAATTTCCTGCAAAATAACCAACTTAGCAAAAGTAGACAGGCCCAAGTAGCCAATGCAAAAACTCAAGCCCACCAAAAGTCCCAAAATCACATAGGCTTTTGCTTTACCAATCACTGCCAAAAACTTCCAAACATACTACACCACGACCAAACTTTTCTTCGACAAGCAGAAAATAATCAATCAAAAAAATGAATTTAATCAAAAATAAAATATTCAAGTATAAGTCTCTATAAAGCACATCTGTCGACATTAGCTAGGTCAATCATTAGCTAGGTCTCTATAAAGCTTTTCTCCTCGAAAATCCACTCCCCAGATGAGTCCTGTAAGCCAAGGATTTTATTAAATCTTCTCCTCCTCAAGGTGGAAAGATGAAAGTATCTTAAATTACAGTCCCCTCCACTATCCACGACGCCCGTGACGTTTGAAACCATAGAAGATTCTCTTGTCAAAGAGTTTCCTCCAACGCAGTCTTGGTATCCTGTTCTTCCTGAAGAGACGCTAGGTAAGAGATCTCTCGTTCCTCGTTTCTAGATCACTCAAGCTGCGGCAGAGCTGCCTCTTACGCCTAATAATATTTCCGAGGACTTTCCAGTTCTACGTTTGCAGAGTAAACGAGAACTGGCTAAGTTGTAGGGAGAATTGATTGACAATATTCCACGAGTTGGACAAGAACTCATGGAACTTTTGATGCCCTAACCATGCTGCCAAGAAACGGAAAGGACGGGGTCCCCTAGCACGATATTTAGGTGTTGCTTGTATAATAATGGGCCTATGATCTAAACCAAGCCTCTCCATATGTTGAGTATTCGAATTCGGGAATTTAGTAAACCACAGTCGGTTACAGAGCGCTCGATCAAGTCTATGGTATAGGTTGCCTCTTTTTCAAGTAAACCTTGGCCGTTAGAACCCATCTTCTAACAATATGCAATCATCCAAGCACCATCTGAATGGTCTAACACGTTCTTCCTGAAAATCATCTCCACCTGTCCGCTCAGTGGGGTGAAAAATGAAATTTCCCATCAAGGTCCACATTAAGGAGGCTGAGGCAGACAATCTTGTAATCTCGATCCAAAAATCCAAGCGTTCAGACGTGTTTGGACTAACATAAACTATAGATATAAGTACTTTTTGACGAGGTGCATTCCTACGAGAGCATGTCATGTGTATCATCTGCTCCCACTCACACAGAGAAGTGACATTTATATTTTGTGTTTGCTAGAGAACCTAGATACCACCCCCCCCCCCCCCCCCCCCCCGAAGAATCCAACAACATTCACCACCAGGCCACTAATGTGAGGCTAAAGAATCCAACAAAAAATAGATAAATCGCTCCTGACTTGCCCCCTGGCAGTTCCAAGAAAGAATGTATAACATTAAAAACAACAAGCAGAAAAAAAAACACTCTCCTTAGGGATGCAACTAAATTCAGAGATTGAGGAATCCCCTTGTGAAGGAAATAAAATGCCTCCTTACGAGGGCCTCCATTAGAAGGGGCGATGCTTTCCAATGAAATCTTCCCTAGAACCTGGTTTGACGAGCTAGTCTTCGTTTTAGTAGAAGTGGTTCCATTCCCCGCCTGTGGTTTTGTAGGCTGTTGCACAACCAAAATGACCATTGTTTTCCCGACAAGCAGCTGAATAGGTGGTGTACTTCCCTTGCGGGAGATGGGCTTGGCTTACTTGGATGGGAACATCAACTAGACCATCGGCCGAAACTTTGGGCACCTCGTCAGGTTTGACTAGCATGGATGGGGCAGCGCTCTTCTGCGACTCCACCATCACGGCAATAGGGGCCTCTCGTTCAGAGTTCTAAGTTAGGGAAAGTATTTATATATCGACCCGGACCGGTCCGTCTACCCCTACTACGGTTGTTGAAATCATTATCTAGCGATAAAACTTTGGTTTAAAGGTTTGCCAAATGAAATGAAAGAAAGCAAATGTACTTTGGTTTGAAAACTCTTTTTTGGGAAAGTCACTTGGGTTTCGCTTTCCCCTAACCGCCACCATGCTACGTGGGTTGGAATGATTTCCTTGGGCACGTTAATCGTGAACCATAGAGGAAGCGTATGTGGTCAGAGACCACAATCTCGATTGTTAAATCGAGGTCAGGATGAAAGGTCGTGTCACTCGACCCTCTCAGTTTAGACAATCGGTAATCGACTTACTCCCTCACTAAACTCTAAGGTCGGACGGTTTAACCACGATTAATTGGCTTGTTCAATTCAATATTGAGGGTTGCCCTAATTCTACCTTGTTTAGGTGGCTTGGAAAGCGGAAGGAAACCAACTCGATTGAGCCTCCCTTGAAAAGGGGGATTTTCCTCTCTAAACTAGGCTAAGTTGGCAAATTAGATTACTAGCACCTAAATGCACAAACTTAGGGGTGCTAAGCACAATTATGCACAATCCCTAGGATGCTAAGCACAACATATGCACAACCCCTAAGTTTCCAAGCACAAGCATGCAAAATCATGGTGAATAATGCCTCAAACATTAAATTGAACAATACCCAATATCAATCATCTAAACCACATACAAGAAAACTACATGGTAGAGTTAGAGTTTCACTACACCCAAGTGAAAGGAGGACTACTCCATGGAAGAAGTGGGAAGAACAAAAGGGAAAAAGGTGGAAACCATCTTTTGGGGATACCTTCTCTCTTCTTGACCCTTGAGCTGAGATTTCCTTGGGGAAATCTTCCCAAAATCTGCCTTGAAGCCAAGCCCTCACCTCTTCTTCTCTTTTGGTTATGTTTCTCTCACTAGAATGCTGAAGACGGTGTTTCTCTCACAAAAGTGGCTCTCCCCTCTCTCCTCCTTGCAGCTCAGCTTTTAAACCTGAGAAGAGTCGAGTTCACGACCGTGAACCATCAAGCGCGTCCATGAACTCACGCCGTGTGCCAAAACGATCCGCATCGTTCACGACAGTTCACGGGCAACTACTTGTGTTCACGGTCTTAGTGACCGTGAACTCACCTTGCATCAGTAACCTTCACATTGGCTTTGGATGCATTGTGATTCACGGTCAAGCCTCCTTCTTCACGGTCTTGCACGACCGTGAACTCCTTCCGTTAGCCGTGAACTGGCTCTATTTCACCTCTTTTTCCGGGTTTCGATCCTTTTCACCAATCTTTCGATTACGAGGCTGGTTCCACCTGTTAAATCCTTAAAAGCACTCAAACACGTAGAACCTCGCGTAAAACCAACCTTTAATGAGCGAATTTGGCACAAACATCTAATTCCAACGGGGCAAAATATGTGTAAATAGGCCCGAATCACTCCCCCATACTTAGACGTTTGCTTGTCCCCAAGCAAACCATTTCCCGTACACGGTAATATTTCAACCTTCACAAATGCTTTGAGGAGAACTCAAAGGACACGAAGCAGGAATTCTCGATGTTTATTGACAATCAACTCATGAACCGTTGCAAGCAATACCGACATCCACCACAAACGGCATTCAAAGCCACCAAAACGGGCAAACGAAAAGTTCTCAACTTATTCATGGATAAATGCAAGTCTCAACAAAACCACTTATCGAGCACAACCAACCATGCATGGAATTCAAGTCCGAGGAACAAATGGAAAGGAAACGAAGGTCCTCACCGGGATATGATATAACATGCAAAGCAAGAATGAATCTCTCACTCTCAAGACTAGAAGGGTCAGGACCTTTTTGGTGCAAAAGATGTGCACAATCGTAACCTCTCGGCCCTATCGTCTCAATACCACGGAGGTAACCTCTAAATCCTAGAGATCAGGGGATGGTTGTCACCACTAGCACAATACATAGTAGTAGTAGTAGTTCAAACTTTCTAACCTTCATTGGGTTGCCTCTCAACAAGCGCTTCTTTAACGTCTTAAGCTAGACAGAATTCCGGGTCATGTATCTTGCAGGGACACCACCTCCTTGTGTGGCATTACCTCTCCTCCAAGGTAACGCTTCAAGCGGTGTCCATTCACTTAGGACGTTCCTTCCTCCGAGTGGGAGATCTCAAGCACCCCGTATGTGAATACTTGAGTTACCAAATACGGGCCCCACCATTCAACCTTAGCTTGCCAAGGAATA